TCAGACTTGCTACACAGTGAGTACAGGGGGGCTGCCTGGTCATGGTGACCACCACAGAGGTCCCAGGGACCCTCTGGGCAGTGTTGACATTGTACACTGTGCCACATAGTCTAAGAAAAATGAAGCTGTGAGTCAGCTCCACCTGACTTGTGGTACACTGCCACTCACCTGTGTGTGGCCTCATCCCATCTGGCCTGGGCCCTCTGCCTCTGTCTTTCTGCCTCCTCCTCTGCTGCCTTCTTCCTTCAGGCCTCCTCTTCCTCCTCTGCTCTCTTCCTCCACTCTGCCTCCAACCTCTCCTTCTCCACCTTCTGCCTTTTGGCCTCCTCATGCTTGGCCTTGCGCTCTGCCTCACACACACACACACTCTGCTCAGTCTCCTCTCATCAGTGTGCCTTCTCCATGGACTTCTCCCACTCAGTGTCAGTGGAGTTGTCAGTAAGGACAACCAGTTCATCATCTGCAACTTGGGAGTAGTTGTGGACATGACTGGGGGTTGGCTGGGGGGTTTTGCTCTGGCACTGGGAAGGCATGGTGATGGGAGGAAAGGACAAAGGTTCAGTATCCTGACACATGTTTTTTAAGCAGTACTTCAAACTCTGACAAAGCTCCACTGTGGCTAAAGCCATTATCCTTGAGGCATCAAAATGGTTTCAAATGATCAACTTGTGTTGATCCTGTCCCATACATGTGGCCTTCAGGGGTTCAGGCCCTAAGGGGGGGGCACTGTCATAACCATGCATTCACTCTAGGTCCTTACTCACTCTGCACCCTCTTCTGCTGGTCATTCACTCACTCCATGCCAACTCCACCCAACTTCTGTCGGTTATGAACCATCTCTGCTCCAACTGCTGTCAGACTTGTACTGCTCTCCTACTGGACCAAATGGACTATTCTCTGAGGAGTCATGTGACTACCTTCAGACTCCTCCCTGACAGCTCACAGTCAGGTACTCCACAGTGCACACACTGCATGGTCCAGCACCTGGACTGTTTCCTTTTCTGGATATTCTATGTTACCCATTCATATGTCCTCTGTCTACCCTTCATTTGTCATCTAGGAAGTTTTACTTGAAATTTTATGAGTCTCCATATGTCAGTGCCAATTCTGATTACTGTACCTCTGTAGTAGTATAAAAGCATGTACCATACTCTGCTGTTCTTCAGTATGAATATTGACTTAGTTCCTACTCCCTCTGTCTCCATCTTCTGCCTGTCGGAGTTACCTCCAACTGTCTGTCTGTACTCCCCCTCTGAAATATGAGGGCTGAGATCATGCAAGGGGGTAGTGCATGAGCTAAACCTGACACCCTCACTTTGCTCTGCCCTTACCTTTGGTGGACTTCATTCTTGCCAACACTCTGCCAGTCAGAGTCCTGCTCTTTCTGTTGGACTTACTTCCAAACCTCTCCCCAGACCTTGTCCAGTGTCAGAGTTGGTTGGAGTAGGCCCAGACTTGGCAAGAGTCAAGAGAAGAGAAGTGGGGGACCCATTGGCTAACCTCCCCCAGATACCTGTTAATCCCCCAGAGTTCACACCTGAGGAATGACTTACCCAGGAGCAAGCAGACAAGTTTGAATGGGACCCCAGCAGATTTTTGTGGCCCAAAGAACTCAAACTAGTCAAGTGGTTAGTATGAGTCCATGAAAAAGCTTTCACTTGGGATGCAAGTGAAAGGGGGACATTCTGAGAAGACATGTTGCTGCCTCTCAAAATTCTGATGGTCCCACACAAGCCATGGGTATATCAGAATATTCCCATTCCACTGGCAATCTATGGGGACATCATGCAAATAATCAAAAAGAAGATTGCAGCAGGAGTTTATGAACTGTTGACTTTGTCTTATTGATTGAGATGGTTTTGCATGGTGAAGAAAGATGGGAAATCACTATGGCTGGTCCACAATTTACAGCCACTCAACATGGTCCCAATTCAGGATTCAGGAGTTCCCCCACATGTAGACAGTATTGCCAAAGAATTCACAGGACACACAGTGTATCGCATGTATGACCTTGTGGTCAGTTATGACCACTGAGTGATCCATGAAGACTATTGCAACCTTACAACCTTTCAAATGCCAATTGGCACATTCAGGTTGACCAAACTCCCCATGGGCTACATGAATGCTGTACAAGTGTTCCATGGGGAAGTGTTGTTTACACTCAGGGAGGAAATGCTGGAGGTAACCATGCCATTCATTGATGACATACCAGTAAAAGGACCATGATCAAGGTACATGCAAGAGGACAGAACATATGAAATGGTTGAATGGAATTTGGGGATCAGGAGGTTCATATGGGAACACCTTGTCAATACTAATTGAGTTCTACAGCACCTCAAGCATGTTGGAGCTACTGTCTCTGCCAAGAAATTTGCAGTGGTGGTCCTGTCTATCACCATAGTGGGGCACAAGGTTTCATATGAAGGCCAAATACCTGATGAATCCAAAGTACAAAAAATTCAAGATTGGCCCTATTGCAAGAATGTCATGGAAGTGCAAGGTTTCTTAGGCCTCTGCAGCTACTGTCACATCTTCATTTGAGACTATGCAAAAAGGGTGATACCATTGATCAAATTGACCAAGAAGGGAGTAGTTTTCAGATTCAATGAAATACACAAGGCAGCAATGGATGACTTAAAGGAAGTGCTCACCAACTCACCAGCATTGAAACCAATAGATTACAAGTCAGGATGGTGAGTCATTCTGGCTGTTGATAGCTCGCACATGGCAGTAGGCTATCTACTTTTACAGGTTGGAGAAGATTTGAAGTACTATCTGTCAAGGTTCAGGTTGATCACATTCAACAAAAGAGACAGTTGGTACAGCCAGGTGAAGCTAGAATTGTTTGGTCTATTTCACATGCTTTGGGACATACAAAACCATATATTTGGAGTCAAGGACTTAGCTATGGAAGTTGACACCAAGTATATCAAGGGTATGATCAATAACCTGGACCTGCAACTGAATGCAACCATCAATCAATGGATTGCTGGTATACTCCTCTTCAAGTTCAAACTGATACATGTACCAGCAGAGAAGCATAGAGGCCCAGACAGATTATCAAGGAGACCTTGAGCAGATGAGGATCTGGAACCAGAGGACAATTACAAAGACTGGATTGATGAGGTAGGATCATTTGCAATCAAACTCCTCAACCCTCAGCAAGGTGAATGAGAAGAAGCCTTTTTTTCAAAGTTGGAAGATTGTTGAGCTGAAACAAGGATGGATCCCCTATGTTGGAGAGCAGAGATCTGAGAGGCTGAGTGAAGTGACCAAGAACCAGGTAGTTTTATCACAGGTGTCAGGGACAGATGCTACTGCTGAAATAGAAATCCCTAGGACAGAGAAATGGAAGTGACAAGACAAATGGTTGGAGGTAGTTTGCAAGTTCCTTGATGATCAACAGCAACTGCCCAGAATGTCAGACTTGGATCTGAACTTGCTCATCAAGTACATGGTGAGATTCTTCTTGAAGAATGGAGAGCTATGGCACTGACAACCAAGGGGACAGCATCAAGTAGTACCCTTGTACAAGAAGTGCTTGGAGTTGATGAAACAAGCACATGACAATCTGGGTCACAAGGGAGTGGTCCCCACTAAGTTGAGATTACTGATTCATTTTTGGTGGCCATTGCTAGATCAAGATGTATGATGGTTCCTCCATACCTGCCATGAATGTCAAATTTGGCACATGGACAAAATGCACATCCCACCTGTTGTAGCCATGCCCAAGCCTCTGTTTTACAAGGCATACATGGATTCAATGGTGATGCCAAAGTTGAATGGGTTCCAGTACATTGTGCAAGCTAGGTGTTCTCTGACTTCATATCCTGAGTGGCAGATGCTGCATGCAGAGACAGGACAAACCTTAGGTTGCTTCATATTCAAACAGATCCTGTGTTGGTGGGGTTCCATGGAGGAGATTGTCACAGACAATGGATCCATGTTCAAACAAGCCCTTGCCTATCTTGCAAAGAAGTATGATATCAGGCATATAAAGATCTCAGCATACAATTCTCAGGCCAATGGAGTTGTCAAGCAAAGGCATCTAACCACCCAAGAAGCTCTTGTCAAGACTTGTGAGGGTGAAGTGGGCAAATGGTTGTTGTATGCACCATTGGTGTTCTGAACCAAAAGGGTGACAACACAAAAGTCAACAAAGCTTTTGCCATATCAGATGGTCCATGGGATCAAGCCAAGATTGCCATTCAACTTTGCTGAAGTGACCTTTCTGACAAATTGGGACAAGGATAAGTACTTGACTGACAAACTGATATCACATAGGTGCCACCAGCTGCAGTGAAGACAAGAAGACTTACAGTGGGTTCATCAACAAGTATGCAAGGCACAGTGCCAGATGGCAAAGGAATTTGAGCAGAGGGTAAAGGGGTCAATACAAAGCTACAAGTTCAAACCAGGAGCACTAGTCTTAGCTCACAATATGAGAATTGAAAAGGAACTTGACTGCAAGATGAAGCCAAGATACTTAGGCCCTATGGTAGTAGTCAGGCAAACTAAAGGAGGTTCCTACCTATTAGCTGAGCTTGACAGCTTGATTTCTCAACTTTGATATGCCACATTTTGCTTACTCCCATATTATTCTAGGAAATGAATCTTGATAACAATAAAGGAACTCACAAACCAAAGTGAGGAAGAGCTGCACAAGCTCAAAGAGGAGTTGATAGAGGATGAATTGATCCCTGAGACTGAAGACATCCTACCAGAAGAGGATGTTGAAGGGAGTGAGTCAGGTGAGAGTATCTGAAACCTTCAACTGTAGATATTTGTGTGCTCGTTCAACCAAGGCACTTTGATTATCAACTTGAGTTTGAGCATAATTCAGTGTGACCAGCATCTCACTGTACATTCTGCAAAAAAGAAAAAAAAGTCATGGCTTTTGAATGTTCAATAAGCACTGATCAATTCTATGATGGGCAGGACTATACATGAGATATGACAACAGGGCTGTTGAAGCCCAGAAATGAGATAATGCAAGCTACTTAATTGCACAACTTCCTCTTACCCAATGCCTTCTTGGACAAGGTATGGCCCTTCAAGGCCAGGTCTAACACCTCAGTCACAGCATGAAGGGCTTTGTGAAGCACAACCAACATCTTGACATTGGAGAGTGAAGGCAGTGAGGAAGGGGAACTGGAGGTCAAGGCAATTGGAGCTGAATTGGAGGAGGACACACCAGAAGTTAAGGGAGGAGGAGTCAGACTAGGAGATGGAGACTTGATGCAAGCACATTTTGAAGCATGAGCAGGCCTTTGGGTAATTTCAATGATGGGTTTGGCAGGATACTGAGGGGGAGTGAGAGCTGGAGGGGTAGAGCCCATGCAAGGCACCTGGACCCAGGCTCAGGACTGAGCTGAATCATTCTGGAGTGACATCAGCAAGATGGCTTTTAGGTTAAAGAGAGAGGAGGAAGCATGCATGTATAAAGGACAGGTATAGCAAAGTTGGCAGCAGCATGTGCACCTGAGCCCTAGGGCTCCAGAACAGATGGCTCAAGCAATGTGACACTGGTCACAAGGGACAGGTGGGTAGATAGGAAAACTGCTGTCCTTCAAAGTATGCTTGATAAGGTTGATGTGCCAGTTGGGACAGTAAACATGCCATTGGAGACTGGATTCCCCAAGATGGTCTGTGTTCTGGACCTCAAGAAGTCAGCTGAGGGGACAAGGGAGGAAGAAAGGAGTAGAAGCTCACCAAAGGTTGATTGAGAGAAGCATGACCAGTCAAGGGGGAGTCAGCAAGAAGACAATCTGGGCCAGGCTCAGAGGTATCAAGTGTCTGGCAAGTGGGTGTGGTAGGATCTGCAGGTGCAGCAGCATCTGGAACAGTGGTTGGTCAGTCAGGTGAAATGGTTAGCATGAGAGGGGATGGAGGGTCCAGAGGACTGGTGAGCAAAGGAGAGGGTGTGCAGGACAGTGCAACAGTGGACATAAACATGGATGATGGGACATCCGGGAGTGTGTTGAAGGTTGGGAGGTTGAGAGCAGGGTTGGGGTCAGGATCCTGGACAATGATGGTCACAGGTGCAGGCTCCACAGGGTTGTTGTCAACAGGGGCAGCATTGGCTGCAGGCACTGTCTCATTGTGGATGTCATCAGTGGGGGTGTCATCAACTGGGAGTGCAGGTGAGGAGACAGCTTGAGGTTTGGGAGCTGTAGGAGCCAGTGATGGGCCCTGTGACAATGGGTAGTGTCAATGGAATGACAGTCAAGAAAAAGGAGAGGGGAATGCACCATGAGGGATGCCAGTTGTGCTAGAAACATGTTCTTTGACTCAGTCCCACCCTGCAATGATCCCAGTAGCAGCTGGAGGATGGAGGCAGCATGTGCAAGGTCATCAGCTGGAATGCCAGCATTGGGGGGCAAGCTGTTGGGGTTGGATGTTGAGATAACCACAAACTGAGGCGACTTGTGCCCAGTGTAAGAGACTGATATTCAAGGGAATACTACATAAGACATACCTTGTGCCCAGTGTAAGAGACTGAAGAAAATTTCACTGGGCACACAACAGTAAGTGCGCAAAAATGATAAACAAATGTAAACAATAAACAAATGCAAACCAAGGACACTTAGAGTGAAGCTAAGTGTCCACTACATGTCTGTAGGGTTAGATAGAAATAACACAGAGGAGAAATGCAGTCCTGAGGAGCACAGGCACCTAATATGAACATTGGACACCATGGGGGTGAGGGCAAGAGAGAGGTGGGTGAGGAAAAACAGAAGGGAGGCACAAAGCAGCTTAGATAAGAAGGATGGGAGAGTGGTGGGAATTCAATCAAACTGGATCAATCATCACCAGAAGTCAGAACCTCTACTAGAGGCAGCAGCAGGTTTATGACCTCAATGCACTCACAGAGCCAGAGTGCTCTCATTTCATTCTCATATTCCTATCATGATATAGTGCTTACAAGTGCTCTACACTGGGAAGGGTCGCTACAGGAGTGGTATGCAAAGTAGGAACAGGCACAAAGAAATACAGGCCTAGTAGAAGTGACACTGGAAGAGAAGCTTAGCCAAGGGAGCTGTGCTATCAGGTGACCCTCTCTGTCTTGATCCAAATGTGTTTTACTGTGAAATCCAGGTACCCTAATATAAAGGAGAAAGCAAGTCAACAGGGGACAAGTGTTCAAGATCAAGCAAGGTTCATATCTGCACTTGCCTGGGTCAAAGACCTATCTTTGAAGGAAACTCAAGAAGCTACAAGTTCAAGGTGAAGTGTTTTATTATGGTTCGAACATATACTACATTGAAATATCTTGTTGTCAGCATTGAGAAGGTGGCAAGTGAGGATGGAAGCCTCAGGGCAAGGTTGTCAGCACTTGGTGCAGGGACTCCACCTGCTAGATTCAGTGTCAAGTGAGGCATGGGGTGTTAAGGACCTGTGCATGCAAGGAGTAGAGGCTGCAATAACAGAGAAGGGAGATCTGGTGAGCATGTTGACATGCTAAGGGACATTGTTCTGCTTTTCTCTTCATGCCAGAATGTCTTGATGACAATAGCAAGAGTACATATGAAGAGACGGGGAAGACTGGAAGTACAAGTCAAAGGCCTCTGGTATCATTATGTGCCATAAGACCAGAAGCTGAAGACTACAGACTGTGGTGGTTGTCAGGTGGGGCAAGGTTGACCACCAGACAGAATTCATTCCTATGCATGATGCACAAATCCAGGAGTCAGAAGAGGGGCCAGTGTACCATAGGAAGAACAGGTTGTTGAGCAGGGAGGGTTCCCCATGTTCAAGTTTTCTTTTCTCATTTTGGTTTCATTCCTGCTAAGTTGTCTTAAGGATGAAAAACAGAATTGAGAGCACATGGCACCCACTCATAGAGTTGTGAATATGTCACTGATAGAGGGTTCACAGATATATAATAGTCTTCGAACTGGGTCATACAGGCAGAGGGCTGCTATCCCAGCTGCTGCACTGCATGAATACTCTGTCATGCATCTGTTTCTGGTGGCATTCAATGAGTAGTCCCTGCTCTGCACTCAATTTATCACTCACTTGTTTGCTTGTTCAGAGTGTCTTGATCATCACCTGGGTGAGAGGTTGGCTTCAGAGCTGTGTGAAAGTTGAGGGCATGAGGTGAGGGAGAGAGTACTGGGGAATCGGCTACAAGGAGTCTTGGGCATGTTGGAGAGGATGAGGGAAGGGTTTGAAGAGCACAGTGTGGACTCAAGGTCGAAGGGATGTATTGTTAGAGGAAGAGGGGATCAAGTGTGGGGTAGAAGGTAATAGAAGGCAAAGCAGGCAAGGTGGAAGTGATGAGAGTTAGAGGGCATGGGGCATGAAGAAGGGGGTCAGTGAGGATGGGTATGAAGCCAAGGACATCTACACAGGGAGAGGGGACAAACCAAGGATGGTCAGCATTTAAACCCCCCCCTGGGATGTAGGGAACACAGACCTTTTCCCTACAAGAAGAAGTTGCTCCTCTAGTGTGTTGAAGGGAAGGTTTGGGGATGGAGAGTGTAGGTGAGGGTTGAAGAGGGTTCAGACTTAGGGGTTGTGGCTGAGGGGACTTAGTGTCGAAAAGTTGAGAGCTGACTAAGCATGCACATGGTCACAGTGCACACCACATCACAAGTGCACACCACATCACATAGACAACTACAGTACAGTGTGGGCAAGGAATACTGTACTACCTGTTACTGACTACTCTGTGGCTCTTCTGAGAGGAGAACAAAGTTCACCCCTTTCTGCTCTTTTACCTAGTTTTTTTCCTTTGAGTGTCCAGAAAATCCTCCCAGGTGAGTTCCCTCTTGGTTTGTCTAAAGTACTTACCCTGCATCCAGACTGAAGCCCCTTTAGGGTCAACCCAACTTGAGTAGAACCCAGCTCCTCTAGAGTTGGAGTTCTTGGCCAACATAAATCAGTTTCTTACATCACTATGGCTCACTCCCTGTCAATGAATGTGAATCTCACTACAGTTAGCCCAAGCTTGAGCTCTATGGTCTCTTCAGTGCACTTTGTTACTGTCATCTGTATCTCTATGGTGTTTGTCATCTATGGGTAGAGGTTGATGCAAAGTACATCAAAGGTATGCTCAATGATCCAGATCTTCAACCTAATGCTACTGTCAATTGCTGGATTGAGGGTATACTTCTCTTTGACTTTAAGCTTGTTCATGTCCCTGCTGTTCATCACCAAGCTCCAGATGCCCTTTCCAGACATCAACCTACAGAGAAAGAGTATGAAGAAGGTGAAGCTGATGCAGAAGAAGCTGATGAGTGGTTGGAGAGTATTCTTTTTGCAGATACCCATCCATCTTTGGTCCACACAACTCATTGATGACTTGCACCATGGTCCCCATGTGCCATTACCCTCCCTTCATTCCTTTCCAATGATACATCTCAAGATGTCTTTTTATGTTGAGTCCTTCCTTCATACTACAGAACTACCCCTGTTCCCTTCCAATACTGCTCACAAGCACTTCATTTGCAGATCCTTTCAGTTCTTCCTTCATGGAGACCAGCTCTTTAAACATCAAGGTCCTCATCCTCCAGCCAAGGTCATTTTTGATCCACATCTCCATGTCCAGATCCTTGGTCATGCTCATGAGGAACTCAGTCATCATGGAGTCTTCAGAGTCTTTCAGACAGTCATGCAGCACTTTTACTGGCTGTCAAGTCCAGGCCTACTCTGACCAACTCTGACACTAGATAAGGTCTGGAGAGAGGTTTGGAAGCAAGTCCAATTCAAAGGGACAGAACTCTGACTGGTGGAGTATTGGCAGGAATGAAGTCTGCTGAGGCAAAGGCAGAGTGGAGTGAGGGCATCAGGTTTAGCTCATGTGCTACCCCCTTGCACAATCTCAGCCCTCATATTTCAGAGGGAGAGAATAGACAGATAGTTGGAGGTAACTCTGACAGGCAGAAGATGGAGACAGAGGGAGTAGGAACTAAGTTGATATTCATACTGAAGAATAGCAGAGTATGATACATGCTTTTATACTACTACAGAGGTACAGTAACTGGAATCAGAACTGACAAATGGAGACTCATGAAATTTCAAGTAAAACTTCCTAGACAATGAATGAAGGGTAGATGGAGGACATATGAACAGGTAACATAGTACATCCCAAAAAGGGAACAGTCCAGGTGCTGGACCATGTAGTGCATGTGCTGCAGAGTACCTGACTGCATGCTGTCAGGAAGAAGTCCAAAGGGTAGTCACATGACCCCTCAGAGAATGGTCCACATGGTCCAGTAGGAGCACAGTACAAGTCCAACAGCAGCTGGAGTGGAGATGGTCTGTAAATGACAGGAGGTGGGCAGAGTTGGTGTGGAGTGAGTGAATGACCGGTGGAAGAGGGTGTGGAGTGAGTGAAGACTTAGAATGAATGCACAATCATGACAGTGCCCCCCCTTAGGGCCTGAACCCCTGAAGGCTGCATGTAAGGAATGAGATCAACACAAGTTGATCATTTTGAAATTGTTTTGATGCCTCGAGGACAATGGTTTATCTGTGGTGGAGCTCTGTCAGAGTTTGAAGAACCACTTAAAAACATGTGTTAGGGTACTGAACCTTCATATCCCATCCCCCCATCATCATGTCCTCTCAGCACCAGACCAAAACCCCCCAGCCCACCCCTGGCCACTCTTGTGACTACTCCCAGGTTGCCAATGATGACCTGGTTGTCCTTACAGACAACTTGACAAACACAGAATGTGAGAAGGCAGCAGTGAAGGCACATTGGCAAGAAGAGGTGGAGAAGAAGGAGTGAGAGTGCAAGGCCAAATGAGAGGAGGCCAAGTGATGAAAGGTGGAAGAGGCACAACTGGAGGCAGAGCAGAGGCAGGGAGAGGAGGAGGAGGCACAGAGGAAGAAGGTGGCAGAGGAAGAGGCCAAGAGGCAGAGGCAGAGGGTCTCTCAGGAGAGGGCCCAGGCCAGGTGGGATGAGGCTGTGCAAAAGTGAGTGACAGAGTACTGCAAGTCAGGCAGAGCTGACTTGTATTTTTTATTTTACCTCACTTTCATTTCAGGTTAAGCAGTGTGGTGTTTGACATCAACACTGCCCAGAGGGTCCCTGGGACCTCTGTGGTGGTCACCATGACCAGGTGGCCCCCCTGCACTCACTGTGTAGTGAGTCTGATGGCAGGGCAGTGCAAGCCAGGACAAGGCAAGACCAGGGCCTGTGTTCCCTGCCACAAGAAGAAAAAGGTATGTAGCTGGATGAGGGAGGATGTGGTGGCAGGACCATCATGGAAGAGAGCAGGGACAGGGAGCTCCTGAGGGGAGAAGAAGAAGAGGCTGTGAGGGAAGGGGA